GTTGCAGCCATCATTGTTGTTTGGCGAGCCCGGGCTGGATTCAAACCCGCCACCTTAAGTGTATGTGGCTGGCACCTTAGCCACTTGAGCCACAGGCACCGAGCCCACTCTCTCTCTCTTTATGAAGGTTCCAACTGAGTTAGTGCCTGAGTCTCCTCTGTGGCAGTTGAGCTGTGACCCTGCCTCTTCTATGTGTAGTGAAGAATCTAGTCTCTAGTTCAAGGCTGGCTTCATCAAAGGGTAAGGATTCAACTCTCTTGTCTTTACATTGATAGAGTCACGCTAATGTAGGAAAAAGGAACAAATAAGGAACACTCCATCTTATAGGCTGGGAAACTAAGACCAGATAGGTTAAGCAATCTGTGCAAAGTTAAACAATTTGTGCAACAGCCTTCTGCTGTTGGTCCTCTAGTAAATTTGGGAACCAGTATTTGGCACCAGTCTTTGAAAGCCTGCAGCTATAGGGAAAATACAGGTAATAGAGAACTCTATTTGAGGATAACCTTTCAACCCACATAAGAACGTGACATGGAGCAGAAACAACACAGTCATGACGTGATTATTACTGATCAACAATGTCTTGCATACATGGAGAGGAACAAGAGGAGTGAATGATCTATTTGTTGAATGGATACCCCAGGCATTTTGCAATCGGGTAGGGAAAACTTATTTTCTAAACAGGTGGCCTAATAATTCATCTTAGAAAGGAAGAGTTTTTGTTTAGAAAACACCTTTGGTCAATGTTAGAAGGTGAAGTCCTCAGGTGTGGGTTTAAGCTGTGGGGGAGGTTCCAGAGACGGGGCAGAACCTTTGTGCGTGAGTCAACAAGAGGAAATCTGATGCTTTAGAGAGGGAAGGGTGAGAGAGAGAACAGGAGAGGGAGAAGGGAAGAGAAGAAAAACAGATGTGTGGGAGGAATGAGATAAGGGGCTGTGGGTAGGAAGGGCCAGGACAAGAGGGTGGTCAGAGGAAAGCCTACTGTGGATTTTCAACAGCTTGCTTTGTCACGGGCCTGTGACTGCTTTCCGGGACCTCCCCTTACTTCCTCAGTTCTTTAGAAAAGTTTGCTCATGAATGTTTTGTGTGAGTGGATTTTTTTTTTTTTTAGTTTTTGTGGAAACTGGTGAGGAAGATGTTTGCTTCATCTCCGTATGGACATAATGCCAACCAGAGATCATAAGGAAGGGGAAGGAAGAGGAGGCCTTGAGAATACAGATCTGCAAAGGACTTGCTGAAATCTCAAATAGGCATTGGACTTTCATAGGCTTTGGGAGTTAAGCCAATTGACTGAGGTCT